CCGCAAGCTTTGATCTATCTATTATGGTTGCAATAAGATCTCTAATTGATTCCATGAGAAATCAGATAATAATAAAGAAGGAAGATGCTTATAAGAAATTTCAGAAATATTACTTTGCATTGCACTTTAGTAAAGAAGCTTGTTCTGCCCTTAGGAAGATTTAAATTTCCCGTGTAATAGCTGCTTTCAATGAAGGAAAACTATTGAAGTCTTCCTCAAGGGCTCCCGCTGTATTAGTATGATTTATTCCCCTATTACCATGAGGAATGCTGTTTATGATGTGTTCCCATAACAATACTCTTTTAAATTTGGAAATATATTTTTGAACTGTCGCAATTATTGAACAATTCTTTGAAGATAAATGACATGCTGGTGCGTTAAGGAAATGTTTTCCCCTTGGATAAGAGAGAATTGTCCACAGGTGTTTGAATGATTTGAAAATATCCCTGACTCTATATATAGTACACCGACTAACGGGAGATGATTAATGATCATGTAATACTGCGTTACACTTTACTAAAGTTATAATTTAAAACAAACTTTTCAATTATTTTATTTTAATTTTGCGTGTACCATTTTCTCTTCGTTGAAAGCTTTCTGAAAGTAAAGTAACTATTCTGCTTGTCTATTTAGCAGCTTTCGTCGCCTGGGGAGATCTCAGTGGTCAGTCAAGAGTTGCAACTCTTGTCACATAGTTACAATTCCTCCAAACTTGTATGTCAGGCGGGGTTTGCCTGACAAAGTATCATTCACAGTCGGTGACATTTAATTCAAATTTCATAGCGATCTTTTTTATTAATCGAAAATTAATTTCAATTACAGTGTGAACTCTCTATTACGAATTTCAAGGGACCGGGCATTTTGTTTCGTTATAGGGAGTTTTCGTTATCTCGAGTGAGCAAAAAAAACAGTATTTCACATTCAATTTTTATTTTAAAAAAATAGACAGAATTAAAGAAAAAGAAGCTAACCCTTTGTGATCATGAAAACAAATTATTTATAATAGTCTGTGATTTTAGATTGAGTGTTTCTGCTTTGCAAATATGTTATTTGGATTTGTTTAACTATTTTGTCTATGTCTTGAGATAATTTTAAATCTTGTTCATGAAATAAAAAGAATTTTTGTTAAAAATTAAAATCTTATCTTTATTCTTCCAAATAGTCGCCACAGTAGATGCACTAAGATCAAAACATTTCCCGACGTCACTTTTCTTTTCGCCTTTTTCAATTGCATGAATTACCGAAACCTTTTCGTCTATAGAAAAACTTTTTCTTTTACAAGCCATGTACAATTAGTCACATTCGACTTCTAGTAAACTCAAACAGAGACTAAATTAATTTTTCACAGTAACGAATACATTCTTATCTATCTACCTATACCATCAGAAATTGTCTGGTAGCAATAACAGCACACAGAAGTAAACAAATGAAGCAAAATTGGAAAAAAATATTTTTATTTTGAGACATTGTACTTTCGTTATGGTGAGTGACTGCTTCGTTAAAGAGAGTGTATCTATATACAGATTTTAATACAAACCAACCAAATTGAACAGATATTTACGTTATGGAGAATTTTATCTTATAAAGAGTTTCGTTATAGAGAGTTTCCACTGTACTTTCGTTCTAAGACGCGTGCTGCTTAATTATTAGGTGACCAACTAAGTTCCCGCTGTTTGTTAATAGATGGCACCAGCAGTAAATGCTGCTTGACTTTGATATATCCAAAACGTCATTAACCAAGCTTAGGCATATGGTAAACAAACCGATTTGATATGTTAGTAATTTTTTGTTGTCTGTACAAATATTGGTAGTTTAAAAATGTCTGATTTTGTGCCAAATAATCGTCATTCGTGGGAAGTGTTGATTTTCTTCTTTCATTTAAAGAAAACTCGGAAAGAGTAAAAAGAAAATTTTCCACGTGAAGAAAAATGTATTAGTTAGTATTTCGTGTAACTTTGTACGAGCCATTTGGAAAATATAATATGTCAGTTTTTACAAAAATTGTACTTTTTTTAACAATAAAATGTCGAATTTACGAAAGAAATAAAAAATTTAAAAAGCAGATAATTGTTATTTGTCCAAAAAAACCCAATGAATGGAACTTTTTGTAGGAACATATACCATTTTTGATATAACGATACTGTTGACATAATTTTGATATCGATATCCCATTAGTGTAATATTACTTAAAGACGCACGGAAGTTACTTTAAACGAAAGCGTTGATTGGTGGAAAAAAAAAGTCGGGCGAAAATCCGTTATCTCTACTTCCGTGAAAATTCGACTCGCATTGAAATTGAAGGAAGAAGTTGGTGAAAAAACAATCGTTTTTACCAAGCTCCTGCAGCAACAATCTGGCATTCGAAAGTTAAGAACTTGGACGTTCCAAGTTTTGCTTGAAAACGATTTTGCAGTCGCTTTATTCCAGTAACTTTTCGTGTATCTCGAGAGAGAGAGGGAGAGAGAAGGAGGTCTGCTTTTGCTATATGCGAACTAAAGAAAGAAACTCCGCCGGAATCGACTTGTCTAGTTTTCAAATGTAGGGCATTTCTACCAGGCACAATTTTCTTTTTACAAATATAATATAAAGCAACTTCAATTTAATACACACTATGACTTGAATTTTTACAAATATTACTGTAATTTATCTAAAGTATAAAATTTTTTTTCGCAGTTATTTTAATTTGGTAGAAAAAATTTTCAAAGAAAAAAAAATTAATGGAGTTCGATGCTGGTAGGAGAAACGTTTAAAAGTATTAAGCTTTTTTCTCGTACGCAACAACTTTCCTCTCTTTCCGACAAATGACGTCGTAACAAAGTACATAAAGATTGTAAATTATGAAACACGCTCGAGATGCTTGTGATTTTTCCTTCTACTAAAAGCAATTTATTCCCTTTTTTCGCGTACACCAAGGAGGACATTTTTACTGCTTACCGTCGTTTTAACCAAGATATAAACCGCCTCGAACTTGTGCCATTATAACTTCGCAAATGAAACTGAGAGTTATTTTAAAATGTTTCATTGCAAGGGTAAAAAGAGAAGACTTCTATATACTTTCGCATACTTAGAAAGCAGTATTTCAGAAATTAATAAATTTTCTTCAAATGGGACATTTGTAAAGAAAATTTTTTTGGTATTTGAAAAAAAAATTATTAATTCTTTTTTCTGATGTAAACGATTGCTGGGAATATTATTCTTATCTGAAAAATTCAGTATTGTAACAGGAAGTATTTTTTATTAATTAGAAATTTGGTTTAACAGAATTGTGCGTTTACGGCCCTGGACGTGTCATGGCGGTGTTTGACGTCACGTGGCAAACACGAGACGCCGGTAGAAACCGGCATGTTCACTCAAGTTCCAATTTTTTAACTGTTGTAATGCGGCATTTTGTCGCGTACAAATCACTTAAAAATAATAAATTTAAATAAATTTTGTAAATAAACGACACCAGGGTGGGAATCCAGCCATAATGGTTGTAAAATGTTAGAAATTATAAAAGTTGTTGTATGATACTTCATTTAATTTAAATAATAAATTCACGTATTAACAAACCAGCTTGACAAAGTCGTCAGATTAATAGTCGACTTGTAATAAATAAATTCGATTCTGATTTGTCCTTTTGTTCTATTATGAAAACTCCCGCAAGGCATTGAGGATTTTTGCCGGGTCACAAGGACGTTAAGCATATCACTATCTATTAATGAAGTTAGAAGTCATCAAGTGAAGAGCTTCCTGGTGAATATATTTGGATAAAAGTTCCGCATATTCAAGAACACCAGGAAGACGAAATTACTGTTTTGTTGACGATCTGTCATATCAATACTGGCAGTCAATTTCCTATGGATTTCTCGCATCAATTAATTTAACATCGGATACTGTAGGGATCTGCGTTACCGACGACTGCGTATCGATTATCGATCGCGGGTATTATATTATTGAATATTAATTCATCTCAATGACACCGAGAAGAGAGGCCGCTGTTTAGCGACGATTTCAAGTTTGACTCGTCAGCCATTTTACTCTCATTCTCAACCTGGTGCTCGTAGAGTCAAGTTGTGTTCTATTCTTTTTCGTGTAAAATAATTAAAATTTAAAATTATAAAAATTAGACAAGGTATCGTCGTCGTCAAATGGACGGTAAGTCCCAATAATACATTAATTAGGAGTCGTTTCCTTCAGAATCAATCTCATTATCATTAAAGTATAATTGAATAAATAAAATATAAATCTTGTCTTTCGGTCTTCTGCCATTATTTAACTTTTTCTAAAATTTGAAGTGAATATTAATAAATAGTGTTATTGTTATAAATTTTGTCTAATTAATGGTGTTAATCCTTATCCCCCGTCTCCGCGGTCTATTCTTGTTGTAAAGTAACAATGGAATTCCTTAGCTTGTTTTAGTTTTTCCTAATTAGAATTATAAAATTTACTTGTCGGGTTATTTAACTATATTTTTTTGCTTTAGTTATTTTCCATAAAATAACTTGGTGTCTTGGCAAAATTAATAATTAAAAAGTGTAGATAACGTTGATTGTCTTGAAAATATAATAATAAATCATTTTAATTTAAAATAAAATCAATAATAAATTAAATTCAACGTTATATTGTTTAGTCGACCAGGACAGGCTGAAATTATTCTTGAAAAATAATTGACGAATTGAATATTGTATCAGAAAAATTATGAGTAGTTTCAATTAAATAATCACAACAATTTTTGATTTACTACTTCGTTATGCATTCCATTTTTCACATTCATCTGAAAAGTGAAATGTGGAATATATGGAATACAAAAAGTGAAAAGTGGAATGCAAAATAGTTACATAGAGCCCCGGGGAATTTTGAGGTTATATTCATTTTAAAATAAAGTTAATATTTATTCATTAAATTTTATTACAAAAGAGAAAAGCAGAAAATGATATATTAATATTTATCAATTGTCAAATTCAAACCTAATTCTAATGACAACAATATAATTTGTTGTAACAATAAAATTATCTCGACTGAAAATTATACAAACATATAGGAATAAATTATAAATCGAAATTTGAGAGAAATTGTTACGTTTATTTTGACGGTCTATAATACAATGTAAAATGACAAATCACCGCATATGCTCGATTATAAATATTTTATTAGCGCAACCTGAACTGAGTAATAACAATCGTAAAACAAATTGCAATGAATAATTCAATTTTGAATTTCGAAAAGGGCTCTCTCATCTCGTGTTATATGTAATAGAAAAAAAATTGTAATTTTTTTTCTAATAATTTAAATTTTAAAGTAATTTCCAAAGATTTCTTAGGCTTTCTTAGAAAAAATTTGTATAATCCGAGAAGATAAGCCTTTTTCGAAAAATGTTGAAAAAACCAAAACAATAACAAATATCTACCGATAAAATTTACCGCAAACTTTAACACTTGCTCAACGCTTGGATAATTTATTTTTATTTTTTTTATTTATAATAAAAAAAGAATAAAAAGACTTAACATTAAATTAAAAATATTCTTAAAAGTTTAGTTTTTTAAAAATTTTGTGTTTTATTATAATAAAAGCATGAAATGATTGTTTGGCAATCGATAATGCAATTTTTTAACGCTTAACTCTAATTACTCTGTCCAGTGATATGTACAAAGAAGTGTTTATTTACAATGCTCATCATTTAATATATATATATGTCATTTGTTATAATAATAGAATATCGATATTAATTACTTAATTATTAACAAAAAATTAAATAAATTTTATTAATTTTAATTGAATAAAGTAGCAAAATTTTTAATTTTTAACTCTTAACAAAATAATATTTTAAAAAATTGTACTAAATTCGAATATTCTTTTTTATGTTTATACTTCTTCTTTTATCTAAATAAAAAAGTTCATTTAATTTTATAGCAAATTTTATCGTTATTTCATTACTACAACTTTGAGTAAAATTTTTTTTTTTGCTGCTAAATCATAATAGTAGGTGAGACAATTCATATGAAATTGAAAATTTTGTATATATTAATAATTTTACTCACTGTAATAAAATTAATAAAATAGACGTGAAAATAATAAAAAAAAATTCACTCGAAGAATAAATTAAATATTTATACATGCAGAATTTATAAAATAATATTTTTCACTTAAATTGTAAAATTTTTTTATTTCAATTTTATATAAATTGACCCACCCTTACAAAAAATTCATGAGCTATTTTTTTTAGTTACAGAAAAAAATGAGTAAGAAATAATTGTTTCGGTTTATTTTTCTGTAATCAATAAAAAAAAAAAATTTGAAATAAATATCACTTTTTTTCCATATTTGTTAATAAGGGCAGGTACAATACATTTTTTTTCAGTTAATACAGTTTCATTTTTTATTCTCATCGTTTTATATTATACATCTCCGCGCAGTTCTGAAAAGAAAGAATTTCGTACAGGGATGGAAATGATAGACTTTCAATATGGATGATAAAATGTGAAATATATAATGAAGATTTAATGAAATGCGAAGTTAACTCAATTGTTAAATATTAAAATCTGCCAAAGCCAGATAAAAAGAATGAAAAGGAAAAAAAAACGTTAAAAGTGATTTATAAAACTGAAATATACATTTTTTTTAAACGAATTAATTTTTAAATTGAAATCAAGGTTTTTTTGTAAAATAGTTAAATTAAAAATTTACAAAAACAATTTGAAGGAAAAATTCATTGTTTATTGAATTATAAAGTTGTATAGGAAAAAAAATAATTTTTTTTTCCCACTGCATCCTTGGACTAAATTAGTAGAATTTCATTGAACCACCAAAAATTTTTTGTAAATAATTACGAATATTTATAGCTAAATCCAATAATTATTTGAAATTCTCCATATTGGATTGGCAATTTTTAAAAAAAAACTTCGGCTTTTTAATCACAGACACAAAATATCTTCATGTAACCAATTTTTATTTTTCAAAATTTCAATAAACATGTTTTAAATCCGTCTTTTAAAAAAAAATATCCTTTTTTATTACAGAAAATTAAATTTTTATTTATTCTCAAAAAAAGAGGAAAAATCGTTTCTAAAATCCCAATAATAAAAGTTTAATCAGTTTAGTTTCACAGAAGTTAATTTATAATGCAAATTTTAGAGCTATGGAGAAAATTTCGAGCCTCTTTGCATCATAACAAACCCGTCAATATTAGATTAAATTGTTTGGTGGTTGAATGTATTTTCACCTGTAAGAGGATTATAAAATAGCGCAAGTCACTAAGTAGCGCATTTTGCTATTTAGAGTATAAAAGTTTTTTAACTATATCGCTGTGCATAATCCCCCTACTGTATACTATAAATATAATATAGCCAAGTATCAACTCTTGATCTTTAAAGATACTTTTTTTTTGAAAGCTGTGTATAGTTGACGTGGTTTGGCCAAAATTGTTTTCTTATTTTTGATGAATTTCAAATGAAAGTCTGTTAGTTCCATCTTTTTGTTTTGGAATTAATAAAATATCAATGTACATTATTTTTTTTTGACCATATCTCATATTGATTTTGAAACTCGATTCTTCCGTGGGTATAAAAATTGTTCCAAACAATTTAATAATTGGCTTAGAATAGTGGAATCATCAAATACACAGGTACAATATGCAATTTTCATTAATTGCAAAATTTTTCACAACATCAAACGCAAAGAGAAAATAATGTGGATAGTTTCCAGTAAAAATGATTTATATTACATTTTATTTAATTTAAATAGTCATATATTGTTATAGGCATCATTTTCTCCTTGTGTTGACGTTGACGCAACATTCCACTTTTAGGTAAGCCAATATTGTTTGTTGATCTTACGGTTGCACTTAGTTTCTCATCTTTGTTTTGACTAACGTTTCCTTTGGCTACTAGAATATCATCCTGAGAAGTAGGACAACCGGAAGTAACGTCGCTGCCATTCTGTCACCACTTCCGTGATGCATTGCCGCTGGGTGTTCTTCTGAAACAAAGCCTCAGCTAGAGTGTTTTCAAAATTTTTATTCAACATATTTTTTCACTTCCGAATACATATTTTTAGAAGATAAAAACAATTTTATTGTGAAATATTTTAATAAATAAATAAAATAACAAATTTTTGTTAAATGTAAAGTTACTGAATCTCTAATTTCACGTTACGGCCCTGAGGTTGTCATGGCAACGACGCATGCGTATTCGCAATTTGGATGAGATCGCAACAGGTTGATAAACTTGGAAATTTAGAAAAATCCAACATTTGCTAACAATAAAAATTATAAAATACTACCGTAAAATCTCTACAAGTGCATCCTCCAGCTATGGGATTCCTTTTAGCAACGGCGCTAAGTAGCGCATTGCATTAATTAGCACTAAAAAATTAATTTTTTTTTACAGACTTATTGTATATGATAATCAAGATCAACTCCCGTTTGAATTTTGTCAAAAAAATTAATTAGTGGCGTGTAAGATAAAAAACAAAGTCTATCGGCGCTACGAGTTAGCGAATTGGTCAAGATTTTGTTCCAAATCGCTACGGTGTAATCGCTTCGGAGCGTAGCGCAAAGTCACTAGCTATAACACAAATTCAAATTCACTTAAGAGGAGAATACACTGAGTTTTTTTCAAAAAATCAAATTTTTTTTAGTTTTCGTTACCATAATTATTTAAGATGGCGGTAAAAATTGTTTACAATGTATCCAAGGGTAATAAAAGGGTTAAAATAAAGTGGTTAACCCCTTGCCTGTTGAAAAGGCAAATTATTATTTCTCAAATGAGACTTGAGATTTGTCTCAATTGACGAGTTTTAAGTCACAATTGAGACTTAGGACTCGTCTCAATTGAGACATAAGACATGTCGCAATTGAGGCTTGAGACTTCTCTAAATTGAGACATGAGACTCGTCGACACCCAACAACCACCTGTTGGGATCTACTAGTGTTGTTGATTACCCTAGCAACGGTTGCTATGGAAACGGTTACCATAGCAACCGTTGTTATGGAGGTGGTTTAAAATAAATGTTTATGTTAAGCATAGAGATGATTGTTCGTTTTTTTTAAATTGTAATATAAGTACTGTACTGTACTGTACTGTACTGTACTGTACTGTACTGTACTGTACTGTACTGTACTGTACTGTACTGTACTGTACTGTACTGTACTGTACTGTACTGTACTGTACTGTACTGTACTGTACTGTACTGTACTGTACTGTACTGTACTGTACTGTACTGTACTGTACTGTACTGTACTGTACTGTACTGTACTGTACTGTACTGTACTGTACTGTACTGTACTGTACTGTACTGTACTGTACTGTACTGTACTGTACTGTACTGTACTGTACTGTACTGTACTGTACTGTACTGTACTGTACTGTACTGTACTGTACTGTACTGTACTGTACTGTACTGTACTGTACTGTACTGTACTGTACTGTACTGTACTGTACTGTACTGTACTGTACTGTACTGTACTGTACTGTACTGTACTGTACTGTACTGTACTGTACTGTACTGTACTGTACTGTACTGTACTGTACTGTACTGTACTGTACTGTACTGTACTGTACTGTACTGTACTGTACTGTACTGTACTGTACTGTACTGTACTGTACTGTACTGTACTGTACTGTACTGTACTGTACTGTACTGTACTGTACTGTACTGTACTGTACTGTACTGTACTGTACTGTACTGTACTGTACTGTACTGTACTGTACTGTACTGTACTGTACTGTACTGTACTGTACTGTACTGTACTGTACTGTACTGTACTGTACTGTACTGTACTGTACTGTACTGTACTGTACTGTACTGTACTGTACTGTACTGTGTTGTGTTGTACTACCCTGTTTTTAAGTTGTTTTTTAATTAGAAGAATCCGTAGAGTAGCTAAGCCAAGCGTAGCGTAGCGTAGCACTACTTAGCGCCGTTGCTAAACGGAATCCCATAGCAGATGTCGAGCGCTAGGGTCCTTTTCTTTCCGATAAAGTCTTTCCGTAAATAATTATAAAATTATGTATTTTCTAAATAATTTTAAAAATTTTTTGTAATTTTGAAAATTCGTTTGAAAAGTGAATCTTGGCTCCATCTTTTAGAAATAGCTTGAACTTTTAACCCCCCACTTTTTCAAGACACCCTTGTCCTAAGATACGCCTACGCAAAGTCATCATTTGCAAGGGCTGGGCCTAAAGGACCCAATGACATCTTTCTTTAGTTAAGTTTTCCTATTTTGTTTCACAATAAATCCAATCATTGATATTTTCTAATTTCCCACTCTTAAAAATATTCATCCCCAAACTTACACCCGTCTTAAAAAATTAAGAAAGGATAGCAATATAAAAATTATAGACCCTAATGAAAAAGTCAGTAGTATTTAAGTTTTCTCAGTTCAGTTTAATTCTCTTAGTTCATTCTTCTATTTTCAATTGTTTCAAGTTTCGAGTTCATTCTTTTAAATCATTCAATTTTATAATTATTTCTCCAGTGATTAGTCAGTTTTATTTTCAAAGTTCAAGATATCATTATTATATACCAAGGGTCCAAGGTTCATTATTAAACGAGTTTTTTCCCATAATCATCATAAATAAAATTGTAAAAAGTAAGTAATTTTATTATTTATCAATGTTCTTTCTTTTTTTTAATTCACTTGTCAAACTTCTATACTCTGTCCATCGAGAGTTTGCCCTCGGTCGCGCAGTTTTTTTCTCTGAGGGCGTTGAAAAACTTAAAAATGGCGTTTCCGTAATTTTTTCATCGGAAAAATAGCCAATGACAATCGTTTCGGTCTCCTACCTTTCCACACGGTCTTAGGCCCTCACGAGTCAAAGGGTAATTTATGACCTTTATACCTAAAAGAGACATTCAAATGGTAATGACTTAATAAAGAATACAAAGTTTTTTAATTTTGTTCTTACAAAATTAAAAATGTTATTTTTGAAATCCTCATTTTATTGTGATTTCAACAGTATGTTGTTTAACTATAATACATTAAAATTTAAATAATTTACAAATTCAGTGATTAATGAAATGTTTGTATGTACACATAGCTTTTTAGAATTTAGTATAAACTTTTAATTTAACTTAATTATTAATGTAAGGTTGTATTTTTAATTATGATTAATTAATTGATATACATAATAACAATTAAGTCATTCACTGTAATTAAAATTTTTATAATTTAAATAATAGTGCATCTTCAGTTTACACTCTTGATGTTATTATTACACTTATTACGAAGTATTACGACTATTACAAGATAATTGTGCACTAATACGCGAGTAAATACTCCCAAAATAAAACATAATTTGTTTAACATACAATATGCACAAATCTTTTTCTTTATTCACTTTCTGAACTAGAATCAACTGAAACATTAATAACAATTGCAGGGATTCTTGTTTTGCAAAACTATTACATATCATTAGAATCGTGAGAATTTGCAGATTCCGAATATATTGTTCAAAATTAATTATCTGCAAAACTAAAATTTTTTAAAATTTTTATTGCACTGTAATGTGCAGTTTATTAGGACCCTTATAAACTTGGGACTTGTGATCGCACGGACGACTGGGGATTAGAAGTGACGATTTAAACCATATGTTTGAACCAAGCCTAAAATTAACATTTTTTTCAAAAAAGGCGGTCCTTATTTCAAAACTCCGCCAACTCTTTCATTTTTATGATGTTCTGCGCGAAAATGACTAAAACTCGTCGTTTTCCGAGGGCAAACTCTCGATGGACAGAGTATAGTTCCGAAGGACATTAATTTGCGGCATTTTAGTTCCTTCAATCCTTAAAAAATTTGCTCATTATTTTTTGATATTCCTTCTGAAAAGATTTCAGTACATTTAGTGCATTATTATTTTTTCAATTCTTTTTACCCCTTTTTGAATAAACCAATTTGAAAGATTTCTGAGTTGTGGACAATGAATCTAGACTCAAAAATAAATTAAAATTTACTAATTATGTTGCGTTGTCGGACATAACACTTAATCAACAAATTGTAAGTAGATTTTTTGTAATAAATACTAAATCGAATGAGGAAAGTGGAATGTGAAAATTAATTTGTGAAATGAGGAATAATTACGTAATGGACTCCCAAGCACTCGATAATAAATAATAATTGTTAACTGAACCCCATCAATTTTTCAAAACCTGGATCGCACTGAATGAAGGAGATATTAGTTTTTGAAATATTATATTAATTAAAACTCTCGTTTCACAATTTTTTCTGTGACTAATTATTTTAGTTATCCAAAAAAAATATACATAACAAATATTTATAGTTTCCCTATGTTCCAATTTGGTAATTTATCAGATGTGAGAATAAAAAATAAAATTCCTTTGTGTTGCTGTGCAAAAAAAGAATATCTACAAGTATAGAACAAGTAAAAGGAAAAGCTTTCAGTACCTAATGAGTATATAGTTAGAAACGAGAATCTTTACCGTTAAGAATGTGAACTCGAACGCTATTTGGGTGGGCATTACTCGGTGCACAGGTGTAGAGACCAGAATCCTTTTGAATGGCTTTCTGAATGAGTAAACGGCTGGAAGTCACGGGTCCCTTTTCGGTAACCAGGCTAATGCCACCTCTTGGAGAGTCGAAGTTAATCGCCTGCGAATAAAGAGAATACGTTGCGATATACGTGTTATATGGTTGCATTTGGTTTTATCGTCGAAAATTCCTGCTCGATGAGTATGGAACATAAATGTTATTAGACCTTTCTTCCCTTGATTTAACAAGCTATTCAAGCTTAGTGATTAGCATTTTGATTCCATTATTCAAAAAAAGGGAGATATTTACGCTTAATCTTTTTGGAATTTTTAAATTTTACAATTTGCTTTCATTTCTAATTAATTATTCACTAATTCTAAGATTATAATTAATATTTAGCTCAAATATTCTAAAAGATAAAGAATCCCAAAAGCATTCCGGTTTTGAACTAATTTTGGTTTAATTCGAAGACTGCCTAATTCTAGATTTACGAAGTTATCGGATTAATTTCCGATGACATGATTCCAGATTAATTTGTTTTAAAAAATTATTCCCATTGATCCAAAATTATTACAAATGAAAGAGAAATTAGATTAATTCAGATTTTTTCTGACATCAGTTTCGTGTATTAAATCCAGAACACTCCGAATTGATTTTAGTCAAAAATTCTAAACTTAAAAATATACAAATTCTAATTACGGATTATTTATGTACATAATAAATAATCTCAGATTTGGAATTTTCAAACTAATACATATTATCTCCCACTAAAATATATGAGCATCACAATGAATATTATAGAAATAAAAATTGTACCTTGTTAAAAATTTATTTGTATGTTCATTTAGACGTTCATTCATTTTCTTTTCACATTTTCATTGATGTTGGTGCGTTATTATATAATGGAGAAAAACAGTACAATAAAACTTCAAAGTCTGCCCTGGAGGTTAAAAAGCAATGACATCAAACGTTTTAATTCTCATTTCATCTTAATTTCATCTGCTTATGTGTAGTAATTTTTTTTTACTAAAAAATGTTAATAAAAGAAACATTTTATATCATTTTGACGTTTTAATAATTCCATCTTCTTTTTTGAAAATTTTCAGTCTTACTTTTGTTTTGATGACGTCGAGTCGGAAAGTTTCTAATAAATATTTATCTCCCACCATATCACAGATAGGGGAGAAAAAATAAATTTAACCCTCGAGGAAGAAAAACTTTACTATCTTAAAGGGACAATCAGCCAATTTAAGGATATGTACTTTGCGCCAGAAATGTTGAAAAAAATGCTATTTCTTCTAAAGGCGATTTTTCCAAAAATATTAATTTAGGGAGAATTGTAATTATATTTTTATATTAATTTTTTTTCAAGCTGCGATATTAAATAATTTTTTTTTTTCATATTTTACCTCTTGGTTGTGGCTCCAAACCATAGCGGAGGGTGGCTCCGGGGCGTACTTGACGAGGCACGTGAGGTTGATTGTGCTGCCCTTGTTGATAAAAAGGTCCGGTCCACCAACGACATCGGTGATTGGTTCTATAAACAAGAAAAAAAAAGAAAGGTATATATAAAGCTCGTTTTCTCGAGGCTTTATCTCAAGTTGCAACGTTGCCGTTGCTAAGAAATTGAGAGAAGCAGACACTTTTAGTTCGGATAGCGAAACCTTTATAGTATCAGAGATAAGATCGGCTTTGATGTGCCTTTTACTCTATCCGCTGAGCATAGATCGCGTTAAGGGAATGCTAGACGAGTCGTCTCGCCTCGTCTTATTTCCTTTTTTCAAAAAGATAGTACCTGGCGGACCTTTAACCCATCTAACATCTATTTCTGGTATCCCAGGATATACCTTAAAAGCCAAACTAGCACACAAACTCTATTGGATTGCATTTTTACCCGCCACACAAAAAAAACCTGTGTTGCACTTTATTTTGAAAAATAAACACATGATAGTGTTACATCTCAAAAGAAGATGCACAAAATCTATTATATTATTTTTTAGTGACATCCAAATAAGAACTGATTTACTCATCAAAAATGCGTAGTTCATATGGTGGAATACCAATCGATAATTTGGGGATTGATGATTTTGTTTAATATTTGATAATTTAATTATATTCCGGTAGCTTTCTTAAAATTAAAAGAAATACCAATTATCTAGGTAATTCGGTACACTGAGAGAAGAAAAGCACAGAATCCGTACTGTGACGAACGCCGGCCGTGTAAAATGGGTGTCAGTATCCGTTCTTTAGTTTTGTTCAGTTGGTGTTGTTTATAGTTCAGATACTAAGCTCTAGCAGCGCGGCAGCGGTGTGAACTAAGTTATACGGAATCTGTCTCATAGCGACCGACAAATACTCAAGCCGAGCAAAACATCCATTGCACATTTTAGTACGGCATCTATCACACAGTGACGCTGCTGCTGCGCTCAACTTGGTGTACAGATGCTGAACTTCTCCATTTCTGATTCCGTGCTTTTCTTCTCTCAGTGTAATTAAACATAAAAAAGATTCCCTCTATTTCACTGAAGTTCCTATGGGAATTTCGTTTCCGAAATAATTATCAGAAGTACAAGCGAATTTCGGATTTCCTTTTCGGTGGAAAAAGAAACGAAATTCAATTGGAAACTGTCATAAGAATTCTGCCGAAATTACCAGGGAGTTTTTCTATTTTCAAAAAAAATATTTCTATTGGATTTGCACCGAAAACGGAATTTCAATTACATTACTAGGACTTTCTTCCATTGTCTAAAACTGATACGAAATTCAAACGGAAATTAATATGAGCATTTCCTTTATCAATTATTTAATTCTAACTTCAGGGAAAGTAATTATTTAAATTAAATCTTTAATACCAATATTGGAGAATATTTTTCCAATGGAGCTGGACATTAATCATAATAATTAATTCAGAATTAGTTTCAGAATCGAATTTCTATAATACCAATTTGTTTTTCCTAACTTGAAAGCAGAGATATTCTGTTTGTACAAGCTCTAGCTTTGACACGAAATCGAATCCTAATGAAGAATTCAATATTTCCGTAAATTGAACGTTATTAGACGTAATTTTAGATCTAATTTCAGATAGCAGTATATATAGATACATTATAAAGAGATACTCGCTTGTGGATCGAAGTATCACATATATAGGTTACATTTTCATTTTGACTCTTCTGCTATTTGGAAATTCTATTTGAAATTACAGAACTGGCGATTTCTCTCTTTTCATACTTTTCTGCATCATTTGGCCGCTTGGCAAGGAAACCAAGTCAAATCGAGACAATACGTTACACGTACTAGTAGTAGAACGAAAATCGTTTGCGACGAGGACATTTCACGAAGAATAAAACACGCTCTGTTTTTCCTTAGATCTAAATTAGAACGACCGAATTACGAGGGAACGACGAGTTACGAGTTTCTTTTGTTTTCTTATCGAAAGAATTTTTTACTAAAGGCTGAAAATTACCAAAAAAAAAAATTCAAATGCATAACACTATTGAAAATAAAACAATTCCCAATGATTTTACATAAGGAAAATATTCCCAAATCCCAGTATTTAGATTGTCGCCAATATTACAAAACTCGTGTCATAATTCTTTCCACTCGCCTTACTGTGGTTCTCCGCTATATGGTCTTTTTGGTAAAGTGATATCGGCTACTTTAGAGAAGCAAAACTTTAAACCGATAATACATAGGAAACATTATTTTCAACTTTCAGACAGGTATATATTTGCGATACTTTCGGTTCATTAGCTTTTCACTCGGTTAAACTTTCCGAGATTCAGAGTAGAAAAGAATTTTTGTATATTCAAAGATGAACCAGCAAAAATGTTCAATAATAATTTTTCAAATTTTTTTCCTTAGTAAAAATTTAGAAATTGTTTGTGAATTAGACAAAATTTTTATTGTCAATGATAATAACTGATATACTTGATAAAAGAGATGAGAGGAATAAGAATTGATGCTTCATTAGCAATATCTATGGTCCATTTGGTCCTTACGATCGTTGTTGAGCCTTCCGATTCTCATAACGTAGGTTTGCTGACCAAAGGAGGTCAAGGAAAATCCTAAGCGGTCGATCGTCTTTTGTTCGAGATCCTCGTTTCCTTCGAGAGAGGGAGAGAGAATGTTCATGTTATACGACAACACACTGCTTTGCAGGCATATTGCTTCCCCTTTTCATTCCTCGACGTCTTTTTACGATCTAATGTCATATATTGCATCAGAAGCCTCAAATCGTCATCTTGAAAAGCAAAATTCAACAACTTCCTTAACTGTTTAAAAAAACGATAGGATTAGATTTTCTCGTACTGATTAATCAAAAAGAGGGATCAAGTACTTAACCGAAAAATCTCAGACAAGATTCTAGAATTCTCTGAAAGCAATTTAATTTTCTTGAACATCACTTTTAGAAGATGTTGAGAATTAACAGATATAAATATTAACGAATTAGAGATAAATATAAAAAGATTTGAAATTTTAATGGATTTGTAATTTTCAAAAACTAAATTTCGAATACATAAATGGCAAAATTATATCTACTGTGAATCACGCATCATATACTATACTGTATTTTGTCCAATTCCGTTTACGATAAATCATTATACGATAAACGATTACTGTCCACCCGATGGGAAACCAGCGATTACTTTTCGGTTCCGGCACGTCTAATAAATCATCGTCGACACGTGTCGCAAAACGTTTTGCCCATGTTTCGTGATGATTGACCAGATTTCTGTTGCTACTATTTCATTCCTTTTTTTTTGCATTGGGAATTCATATTCTCCATGAAACGAAGAGCGTGTTTTTTCGATTTCACTAATAATACACTTCTATTTCCGAAACTCTTTCGCTTGACATAAAATTCTATTTTTAAAAACTGGATCAACACAACTTTAATTTGTATTTACTATTTTTAAATAATTTTTTTGTTTAATTAATCTTTCTCGTGAATTATATTGGAGTAGATTGTTTATCTAAGTGCCAATTCAGGTTCCAAGACCTGAATTGTAAATGCGGGTTCCCTCAGGACACTCTAATTATCTCTTGCCTTATCTGAATAACTATTTGTGTCACATATCACACTCAGGTGCTATGTGGGTATTAGTAGATCGATATTGTGACGTTTACTAACGTATACACAATATTACAAGATTCACAGTGACCAAATGTACCATCCACTCATATTTATCATATTGTAAAAAGCATTCTTGTAAAATAATATATGTCAACTATTTAATTTTTAGTCAAAATAAATAAATGGTGCATACCTAATATATCTTTTATTAACAAATTTTAAAGTAGGTGAAACAAAGTTGTTCTCTAAATCATAAGTTTCTTGAAAATAAAATGAATAACAGTATAATCGAAAACAAAAAGCAACATTTCAAGAGATTGAATGGAGTCAAGACGTGAAAATCAGATAATGAAAGTCAATGCAAGCGTGATAACCAGAACCGAAACCGGCTGTTCTATCATTCTCCATAAAGCTTGAAAGCCGGGCTTTCTTCGTTCGTGAAATTTCCGTGAAACAGAATCTCTCTCTCTCTCTCCCTTTCTATAAAGCAAACCCTATTGAAAATCCCCACATGGGAAACCACATGGGAAACCACATGGGATCCTATGTCAAAAACTATGTAAAACCCCATTCCCCATATGGGAAACCACATGGGATCCCATATAAAAACTCATGGGAAATTGGGACAGGAATTGGCATAGGAAAATATCAAAACGAGGTTCCTCCATGTCATTTCCTATGTCAAATCCCATGTTAAATACCATGTTAAATACTAATTGAGATCCTTTATCACTTTTTTGAAAAATTTTCCCATGTCATTTCCCAAGTAAAAACCTTTATCATTTTTTTGAAAAATTTTCCCATGTCATTTCCCATGTGAAATCTTTTATCATTTTTTTGAAAAATTTTCCCATGTCAAATCCTCTTTCGCCTTATCGAAAATACCCACATAGGAAAGCATATGGGAATCCACATGGGACACCATATGGTAATCCACGTGGGAAATGGAATACGATTTCATGTGCATTCTTCCAAATGATAAAACAAATAGATTTAAGCATAGGAAATCATATAAGATTTCATATAGATTCTGAAATTTCAACCTAAGATTTCACATGGATTTACATATAGGAAACGATATAGGATTTTATTCGGGAATTTTTTAGTTGGCTGCTTTATGCAGGCGGCAGTTTACAAAAAAAATTAATTATTTGATTAAATATCAAATAATAATACTTCAACTCATCTGAAAATAAAAAAAAGTTTACTTTACTTCTGCCTTAGACTCTCAGCTTTTATAGTATTCCAGACTGATCTCAACTGTGAGAGAAAATATTTTCACCATCTGGTGGTGAAACAATGAAACTATAATGACGATCAACATCTATATTGAAATTTCCTATGTCATTTCCCATGTCATTTCCCATGTGAAATCTTATCATTTTTTCGAAAAATTTTCCCATGTCATTTCCCATGTGAATTCCTTTATCATTTTTTTCAAAAAATTTTCCCATGTCATTTCC